AGATCCTGCTCTATGGTGAACTTGCCACTGGCTGCCGCATGAGAGGAGCCCCGAAGAAAAGATACAAGGACTCCCTGAAACAACATCTCAGCCTTGGCCATATTGATCATCATAACTGGTCTACTCTGGCCTCCAGTCAGGAGGCCTGGAGACACACCATCTATAACGCTGCTGATGCCTTTGAGAAAGCACGCAGGATCACCCTTGAGGAGAAAAGGCAACGCAGAAAGAATCATGCCTTGCAGAATATACCATCTAAGGAGTCTTTCTGCTGTGCCTTTTGCAATCGGACATGCCTATCTCATATTGGCCTTTTTAGCCACCAGCGTGCTTGCAACAAACATGGGTAGAGACCTTCCCAAATCTTCGTTCACGAAGCCCAGCCATGATGAGAGGGTTGGAAAGGACCATAAACATCATCCAGTTCCAGCTCCCCGCCATGGGCAGGGATACCTTCCATTATCCCAGGTTGCTCGGAGTTCCATCCAACCTGGCCTTGAACACTGCCAGGGATGGAGCATCCACAACCTCCCTGGGCAACCTGTTCCAGTGCCTCACAACCCTCACAATAATGAACTTATTCCTAATATCTAACCTAAATTTACCCTCTTTGTGTCCGGTTCTGGGCCCTCACTCCAGGAAAGACATTGAGGCGCTGGAGCATGTCCAGAGAAGGGCAGTGGAGCTGGGGAAGGGTCTGGAGCACAAGTGTTATGAGGAGCAGCTGAGGGAGCTGGGTGTTTTTAGGAGAAAAGGAGGCTCAGGGGTGACCTGACCACTCTCTACAACTCCCTGAAAGGAGGTTGTAGCCAGGTCTCTTCTCTCAGGGAAGAAGTGACAAGACAAGAGGAAATGGCCTCAAGTTATCTCAGGGGAGATTTAGATTAGATATTAGCAAAAATTTCTTCACTGAAAGTGTGGTCAGGCATTGGAACAGGCTGCCCTGGGAAGTGGTTGACTCACGATCCCTGGAAGTGTTCAAAAGGCATGTGGATGTGGCATTTGGGGACATGGTTTAGTGGTGAACAGGGTGGTGCTGGGTTAATGGTTGGACTCAATGATCTTAGAGGCCTTTTCCAAACTAAATGATTCTATTATTCTGTAGTTCATCTGGGCCAAAACAGACCTCTTCCTGCCTCTCACTGTAGGGCTGGGCACTGGCTGGCAGGATGCCTGCCCTGATATCTGCATGAGCCCCCTTGGCTCCCATTGTTTCATCTCCTTCTGGAGCAGCCTGGCTCCTGCTGCTCCCTGACAGCCGGTACTCTGTAAGACAAGATGATCACGGTGATGTGCCTTTTCTGATGCTTCCAGTAGCATTCAAAATGCTACCAGGACGTGGGGGCCTGGGTGAGAATAGGGGCCAACAAATCATGGGGGTAGTGGCCCAGGACGTACAGGAAGGAGTGGAGGAAGAAGTGGAGACCAACTTCAGGTGAGAACCCTGGGTTTGGTTTTCAGATATATGACAGAAAAGTGGAGGATGTGAGAGGGCATGCGTGTGCTTGGAAAGGCAAACTTGCTTATTAAAAATAATTTGGGAGCTCATGTTATACAAAACTGAGGCTGCTGCTCAGATTGTCTTTTTGTGGGTTTGGGTTGTTTTTTGGTTTGGTTTTTTTGTGGTTGTTGGGTTTTTTTCCTGCCATCTGTCTCATTGACATAACTGACACTTCCTTCACTGAAAGTTTGCACAGTTCAGATAAAATAAAGTTTGGAAATAATCTGATCTGCATCATCTTGATGAGTAGCACAGATTTGCTTCTGACCTCAAGCTTTCTATTGATCTCTCTCAAAGCCCAAATGATCTTCACTGGCCTGGTTTTCCTTGTCCGAGGCATGTGATGTCTCCCACATTCCTCACTGTTCCCATGTCTTTTGGGGGATCTCCTTCAGCATGTGGTTGCAGTTCCTGCAGAGCACAAGTAGTGCAGCAGAACAAGAGCCATCGTGCTGCTTCTTGTGCAGCCATCTTCAGTGGAGTTGTCTGGACAATCTCGATAAAAATAAACGGTGTAGCCCTGACTTGAAAGATTCTTTGCAATTCTCTATCCCACAGCCCTGTTAAATCTGCTCTAAACTTAGACATGAGGATAAAAGCAGCGATGAAACACCTCCATGCATTTCCAAATCGCTGGAAAACATTGCTTCTTTTTTCCTCAGTCTTGCTACTTTTTTCATCCTCTGGTTAGATAATGTAAGGCTGTTCAGCTCCAAAGGAGGTAGCTCTTGTTTAGGCTTAAATATTTGGCTTAGCTGATTATGTTTGTCAGTGGTAGAACTGCTGTCAGGTAAGGTCAGATTAAATTGCTCCTGCATCTCCCTGGTGTCTGGTTTCTCAGAGGGTTAAAAAATGCTGGCGCAGTTTAATCTTCTGGAGGCTCAAATCTAGTGAAAACAGTTTGGTTTATGTTTGTGAACCGTTTGCTAAATTTGCTGTTAAACATACAGGAGGAGTCAGTCACATTGCTAGAAATGTATAAAATTGTGATGTAACCTCGATGAAAACAGGTAAGCATTTTTAGAGTTACTTTCACTGCTGTGGAAATAATTTATATTCAGGTCTAGTTCCGGCTACATTAAATGGTAAAGCTCTGAGGAGAGACTGCAAGAAATAACTTGTATCTTGTAAATATAAACATCTGCACAGAGTCTAGTTTTTTTCAGGCGGAAAGGCAAGTATTTACTGTTATATTACTGTAAGAGTTGTTGCTAGGAGTGCATCTGTGCACTTGTGTTTTCTTTTTCTTTGCATCATTTTCTTTTCTCTTGTGTGCAGCTTTGGGACCCACCCTTTAGCAGCCCTTCCTTTTAAAGAAATTCAGATAATGGGTTCATCAACTGTTTGAAAAACACAAGGCTCCACTAATAGCTCTCCTAGGGCTAGAGGTGTGGTTGGAAAATAAAATTCATAAGCAGCAGAGAGAGAAAGGATTTTCCTATGTGGGTTGTGGGGACAGAGAAAAGAACAGGGAACAGATCATCTCCAGAGCACCATGTCATCAGTATTCTCCCCCAGAGCCCTGAGGAGAGCCCAGTGCCTCTGTTGAACTCATGTTTTAGCTCTTCAATTGTCTACTGTTTAACTTAGCTGGCAAAGGAGCTCTGTGGACCATTTACACTGATTTGTAAATAACTGATTTGTAGCACTGAGGCCATTCCAGCAGATGACAGCAAGTGTTGTGCCAGTATTTATATATTGCTTTTTTTTTTTTGGCACTTAATTCAATTAAGTAATGTGCCAACACTTCAGGTCCTAGGTACCTGGCCTTGGAAACACAGCTCCAGAATTTATAAAATCACTGTAAATGGTCCAGAGAACTCATTTGCCAGCCTGTGCTTTTCCATCAGTGCATGGAGTTTGCCACAGGTATCTCAAAATAGGGTCTGTGTACCCTAGTACTTTGTTGGCAGAAGAACTATCTGGAACTTTTCTGCCAGTAATGTATATTCATTCATTCAGGATTCACGGTTATAATCTTTCCAAGGTATGTCTTGCAGTTGTTTGTCAGAAAGAATGAGCAAAGTTATTCCAAAAAAACATTGCAGTGACCACATCTGTTCTTACCCACTTGCCTGCTGGTCTGGGGCCATGTCACCCTCCCACAGAGTGAAATATTTGGTGTTTATGTTAGAGGAGTCAGGCCAGATCCATCAGCCCAAGAGAGGCGAGGCGGGTGCAGCTCCACCCTCCCAGGTCCAACCAAAGGGAGGTCAAGTATGTAATCCCAGCTTAACCCAGCTCCTCCTGTTGTTTTGCCATTAGGGATGAACCATCCACTCCCCTCTCCCTGGCTCTCAGGGCACACCACCCTCTCACCTAGTACAGCTGATGACATTTAAGTCAGGACCTCCTCCTGTCTCTCCAGTCACTGTCACCCAGGCATGTGGACTCTCCAAGCCATGGCTTGACTAGAGGCTGGCACAGACGCCCCCACACATGCATACAGGCAAAATAGGGAGTCCTTCTCTCAGAAAAAAAGTTATAAAGGAATTCAATAAGAAAAAGGGAATGGGCTGTGCGTGACAGATAAACACATTGCCCAGCAAACTCTTCACACACACAACTGGGTCTTCTATCCCCTTATCCATTTCTTTCTGTTACTTGTTCCTTCCCAAATCATCTACATCTCTCTCTTTCTTTGCCTTTGATTCCTCT